ATGAAACTCTTTTTTTTTTTTTTTTTTTTTTTTTGAGATGCTGTCTATGTAGCCCAGGGTGGCCTTGAACTCACTATGTAGCTGAGGCATGACCTTGACTTTGTCTCCTGAGTGCTGGGATTATAAGGTGGCTTTTACACTGGCCAAGCATTCCACCAGCGGAGCGACCCCAGCCCCTGTGGAAGCCCTTTGAGTCTAAACAAAAGCTGCCTTTGCTTGTTCGATTGCTGTGCCCAGGACTGAGGCCGCCCTGTGACCTGAGCTGGGGGCGGTCATGACCTCCACTCCCTCTGACTCTTCTGAGGTTAGAGCTGGCGCACCCGGGCCGCTTCAGGCTGAGCAGTAAGGTGCAGGGGGTAGAGGGGTACATTGGTCATTCTCCACATGACACATCGGAGCACCCACCGTATGCGAGCATTGCCCAGGACACTGCGGTCCCAGCCTCAAACAGAACAGCTTCGAGGTTCAGCTTCTGGCTGAAGAGTTGACACAAACAGATGTTATATTAGAAGGAGATTTTTCTTTCAAGTTTTGTTTTTGAAATAAAGCCTCCTGGAACCCACTGGGTACTGCAGGTTGCCCTTGATCTGCCTCCACCCACGTCTCTTCTTTAGATGGGGTCTCACTATGTAGCCAGGCTGTGTGGGCCAGACAAGCTTGCAACTCACAGAAATCCCCCTGCCTCTGCCTCTGGAGGTCTGGGATTAAAGACAAAAGATTTGCGCTGCCATGCCTGGCCCGTTTTCTTTTTGAGACAGGAGCTTGCTACACAGCCCAGGCCGGCCTTGAATGTAACGCAGTCTTCCTGCCTCAGTTTCCAAAGGAGCTAGAACTACAGGTACAGCGGGGCCAATTATGGTGACAAGTTTACTGTCCCTTCTATCCAGCCCTCTGGCCCCGCCCCACCAAATCCGGTGAGATAAATGACGCACAGGACCACTGCCAGAGGATGCCGGAGCAGCCTGATGTAGGAGTACACACCTGTAATTTCAACACGAGGGGGGCTGAAGCAGGAGGATTGCTGCTAGTTCGAAGCCAGCCTGAGCCACACTGAAAGTTTCTGTTTCAACAACAACAACAAAACAAACAAAAAAACAATCAAATCTCAAAACCCAGAAACAGGGCCAGTGAGCTGGCTTCTTGGTTAGAGGCACTAGCCACCATCCCCCATGACCTCAGCGCTGCCATTGGCCCCACACAGCGAAAGGAGAGAACTGGCTCCTACGAGCTGCCCTTTGACCTCCACATCGGTGCCAAGACATGGGCAGAGGCACCCTCCCCTAAGAGATAAAATGTAACAAAAGTTTAAAAAGCAAAATCACCACCACCAAAACCAACAAAAACTTAATTCCTCAAACCCATATAAAAATAACAAGTACATTCAAACAGAGCCTCTCTCTCTCACTCTCTCTCTCTCTCTCTCTCTCTCTCTCTCTCTCTCTCTCTCTCTCCTCTCTCTCGCCTGTGGGAAGGGGGCATTTGAGGACACAGTTCTGTGACCTTGTTTTGTGTGGCTTCCCCCCCTCCTCTGGTCTCATCTACCACCTCACCAGTCCCCTGAGGAGATCACAGCTGAAAGTGGCCCAACCATCTCGCTCCTCCCCAAGACTCCGCCTACTACCAACTTATCAATACTTGTGGAAACTTTCTGTCTTGGGAAGCTCTATTGGGGGAACCTTGTCCCCCTGAAGCAACGGAAGAATCCCTTCCTCCTTTGCCTTGTGGTCTAGGGGAGCCAAGGACACAGGGTGGGGCCAAATTTGGTAAGCCCGACCTGTGGGTGTGTCTCCCAAAGACAGTCTGAAAGGCAAGATCCCACAGGTCCCAGGCTGGGCCAGGAAGGCTGTTAGACTTCTCAAAGGACCCCAAGTTCCCTTCTTTCCTCACCCTGCAAACAGCACCCAGCAGTCAGCCCTGGTGGCACAGGCCTGTCATCCCAGTTATTTGGGAGACTGGGGCAGAAAGACTGTATATTCCAGGCCAGCCTGGATGATTAAGTGAAACCCTTTCTCAAAGCAAAAAGTAAAAAGAGGCATGGGAAAATATCTCAGTGGTAGAGCCCCTGCCTAGAATCCCCCCGTGAGGGGCTGGGGGTGTGGCTCAGTGGTAGAGCCCCTGCCTAGAATCCCCCAGTGAGGGGCTGGGGGCGTGGCTCAGCGGTAGAGCCCCTGCCTAGAATCCCCCAGTGAGGGGCTGGCGGCGTGGCTCAGTGGTAGAGCCCTTGGTTAGCACATACTATTCTTAAATTCGATCCACATTAAAACACATACACACAGCCGGGCGGTGGTGGCGCATGCCTTTAATCCCAACACTTGAGAGGCAGAGGCAGGAGGATCTCTGTGAGTTCGAGACAACCCCGGTCTACAGAGTGAGTTCCAGGATAGGTTCCAAAGCCACAGGGAAACCCTGTGTTGAAAAACCAAAAAACCACAAAAAACAAAAACAAAAACAAAACAAAGCAAAACAAAAACCACACACACACACACAACACACACCCACACACACACACACACACACACACACCCACACGCACCCCTGATCTCATGTAGACTGGCATGTGTTTGGCCTCTCATTCCCACCCCTTTGCCACCTTCCGGCTCCTCTCCTTGCTTGGGGGTTTCCAAGTCATTCAATCACCTAACAAATATTTACTGAGCACTGACTCGAAGCCAAACTGTTGGGGACATGGCCGGCAGACAGAGCTGTTCTCTTATGTGGCTAAATCTTATTGGAGGGACATGAGCAGTATTTTTTTTAAATCCCCTGTATTATCAGAGAAAGATTATAGTAATAGTGCCATAAGATAAAATGGCTCAGGAGGGTAGGGAGAACACAGGTCATTCTTCTGGCTGGGGACGTCAGCAGGTGCCCTAGGAAGTAAGCTGAGACCGGACTGAGGTGACAGGAGCCTGTGGTACAAGGGAGAAGTGTGTTTTCCATTGCGTGGCACCATATATGCAAAGGTCCTGAGGCAGGTTGGTGGTGTAGGGTTTTTGTTGTTCTCATAGACTCGTTTGAAATTCAGACACCTTCCTCAGCCCTATTTCCTCTCTTGCTGGGGTTACAGCTGTATACCACCACCCGAGCTTAAAAAGACTTTATTAAGTGGCTGGAGAGAGAGGCTCAGCAGTCAAGAGCGCTTGCTACTCTTCCAGAGGACCTGAGTTCAGTTCCCAGCACCGACATCAGGCAGCTCACAGCCATCGTAACTCCAGCTCCAGGGGATCTGATGGCTTCTTCTTGTTCTCGTTCTTCTTGTTCTTGTTCTTCTTCTTCTTCTTCCTCCTCCTCCTCCTTTAAAAAGATTTATTTATTTATTTATCATGTATACAGTGCGTGCCAGAAGAGGCCACCAGATCACATCACAGATGGTCGTGAGCCACCATGTGGTTGCTGGGAATTGAACTCAGGACCTCTGGAAGAGCAGTCGGCCCTCTTAACCTCTGAGCCATCTCTCCAGCCCCCGATGGCTTCTTCTGGCCTGCCTAGGGCATCCAAACGCATGTGGCAAACACACACGTGAATAAAATAAACCTTAAAAAGTACTTGATTGTGGAAATTGAGCTCATTTATCCGGACTAGAAGGTGGTATCACAGTAGGAAGTGTTATCCCTCCTGCTTCTGTGCCCATCACAGCTCACAGCCAATCATATTTCCTGTCCCCTCCCACCACTGCCTCCGCCAGCTGAGGGTCCTGGGTATCCCTCTGGGATTGGATATGGAACCAACTCCACGGTTACGCAAACCAGTGATGTTGTAAATGATGGTGTTGGCACAAGGCCTACTGCAGCCTCCTGGGTGCTCTCAGCTGTCTGTACAACTTGGCGGACCAAAGGTGGTCATGTGACTATGGCTGTCACGTGACACCGCTGCTCTAGGGGCCACAGCAAGAAGAAGCCTGCACATAATGATCAGAGGTACAGCGGTGTGTGTGTGTGTGTGTGTGTGTGTGTGTGTGTGCATACATGTGCTTATGTACGTGAGTATGTGTGCGTGTGCACACACTGGTGTTGTGCGTGTGAGTTTGTGTGCGCGGGTGTGTGTGCACGGGTGTGTATGTGCATACACGTGCACGTACATATTGTGTGTGCACACGCTGGTGTGCGTGTGAGTTTGTGTGTGTGCGCGCGTGCATGTGTGTCCACGGGGGTGTGTGCGCGCATACATGTGCATGTGTACGAGCATGTGTGTGTGTGTACACACTAGAGTTGTGCATGTGATTTTGTGTGCGTGCACGTGTGTGTGCACGGGTGTGTGCATACACCTGCACGTATATATTGTGTGTGCACACACTGGTGTGCGTGTGAGTTTGTGTGTGTGCATGCGTGTGCACGGGTGTGTGTGCGCACATACATGCATGTGTACGAGCATGTGTGTGTGTGTACACACTGGTGCTGTGCATGTGAGTTTGTGTGTGCGCGTGCATGTGTTTGTGCACGGGTGCATGTGTGTGCGCGTGCGTGTGTGTCTTTCCAAGAGTACAGGCACACCTGAAGCCAGAGGTGGCTATCAGGTATCCCCCACAATTGATGGATACATCATCATCATCATCATTATTATTATTATTATTAATTATTATTATTATCCTTTTTGCTATCGGATGTGTATGGTGTTTAGCTTGCAAGTATGTATGTGCACCACACGTGTGTACTGCTTGAAAGGGACACTCTTAGGTCCCCTAGGACTGGAGTTACAGATGGTTGTGAGCCACCTTGTGGGTGCTGGAAATGGAACCCGAGTCATCTCCCCAGCATAACGTGGCTGTTGTTAATTTTGTGGTAGTAGGGT